ATAACCGTTATTATAATAACGAGAATTTGTAACCGCTCTGCTCTGACGACATATAAACCAGCATCCACGAAACAGAGTATTAACATTCTCGTTTCATTCTGTACAGACTCCGTTGTGAATATTTTGAGCTTGACTGTACATGTGTGTTCTCTCGCATTCATATTTTCCATCTGATCATCTTTACGTTAAGGCTTTCTGTAATTCTAATCCTCTTTAGACCACTCGTACGGGTATCTCATTTGCATTCAGGTTGTAACGGTCCACTTACTATTGATGTTTTGAACCACCAGGAGGTTATCTGTTCTCTTCTCGGTCCGATCCGAAGTAGGCTTCCATTGTTCCGCTTCAACCCGCTAATTGTCTCGCCTTCAGGCGAAGTATGTGTGGGAAGTACAGTTTGTTCTCAGTACCCATTTTATAATAAAAATATGATAATTATTTTTTCCCCTTGGCACTACATCCCCAGTGGGCCTAGGCCTACCTCCATGAACTACGTTCACTTCGGTTTTTCTAGATCTTACATATACGGTAGGACTCCTTGGGTGAGTGATCAGCTCGTGGCAAGGCCTCTACCTGTAGACAAACACAGAAAAACGCACACAAACATCCATGCCCTGAGTGGAATTCGAACCCACGATCTCGGCTTCCGAGAGAGCGAAGACAGTGCATGCCTTAGACCGCTCGGCTACCGTGACCGGCATGATAATTATAAATCCATAAAATTTTACTTTTCATTGTAGTAGGTAATAGAGACTTCTTGAGTAGCTGCAGATTTGGCGGCTCCTCAAGAAGGGCTCAGCTCCATAAGTAAGTAAGGTAATAGAGACTTGGTGTGTTGAATTAACTTAAGACAGAATCCATATTTGTTTTTCGAAAACCACTGTGCTAGACTTCATGACGGTTGGTGCTAATGTTCGCTTAACCTGTTAACTAGAAGAATAATTTCTTCTCGCACGTGACGCCATATAGTTTTGTAGATGTTTGACGACGTTTCAGAGGAGTGCGCTATCTTCGTAACTTACTCTTCTCGCTCTGAGTGATATTTGTGTTCATCGGATTACTGTACAGAACGATTCCTGTTACAGGTGTAGCTATCTTTGTAATAATGCAGTAGGTTACAGTTATATTAATACTGGAACGGCTGAGTAATACAATTACAGATTTAGACACTACAATGCATCTGAAAATGAAATTATGAAATTAAGGTTATATTGTAGCATTGCATTTCTTGGGACTCCCTATCCGAGCGACAAATTCATCCCTTCTTAACCTCCTTAATTTCATTATCTTAACAATATTACACAAACTGTATAAATCACGAAGTTCCTCCTTGTGTAATACCTGGATTTCCCACTTTCTTCGCCCCTCACGGTTTTTTTTTCAAGCACTTGTAATTCATGTTCCACCCTTAAGGAAGATACTTGTTTGGCATCTCCAGCAGGCTGGTGCAGCAGCAACACTATGGAGTGTGCCATTATGAATGGGTACTATTAAAGATAATATAAAAGTAACCGAAAGAAATAAATAAAACGCTTAAAAGCAGACAGAATTTGCGAGACGCTCACTGAACTAGTCACGGGAGAACTGACCGAGCAACTGCGCATGCGGCCAAGCAGAGAGAGAAGGCTACCACGTGACGACCACGTGATTCTTTGTTCGACTTTCAGAGTTTTTTGTTCGAGTTTAAAAACCGGATTTTCCTTGAATTTTTCGTTCGAGTTTCAAGTTGTTCGAATATCAAACCGTTCGAAATTCGATGGTCCACTGTATAAGGGCATGTTTATAACATGTGTTCCGCCATACGTGTAGAACTCCAATGGTTCATTATTTATCGCAATCAAACTGAAAACTGAAGAGAATTTTCACACCCTCTCTTGTGTTTTTTTTGTGTTCTACAAAAAAGAAACCGCTTTAAAGGTAGCATATTTTTCGAAGTTATGTAATTAAGCGTCACCACAAAGTTCACGTGTTCGCCTTATTGTTATTAGTTAGTTAGTTAGTTAGTTAGTTATTGGAGAGGGTGGGTTTCCCCATGCACTTAGACCAGTATTGGTCCATTGTGCTTCCCTCTATGATATTCTACCAGTCTCTATACCCTACCGATATTGGTGCGTACCGTCAGTCCCGCCGAGCCAGCGAGTTCGGCCTCCACTAGCTTGGCGGTGTCTATAATGCTTCCCCCCTCTATCAGAGGCCTTAGAGACTACTGTTGGGCGGGAAACGTCCTTGAATTTGGCTCAGTGACCTCCTTTGGAGATATGAGGTTCTTTTACGTGCCGTAAAGCTACGACACGGGACACACGGCTTTAAAGTCCCTCCCGCAGGACTTGTTCCCTTAATTTTTCCGCCCTTAAAAATTCGTCGACCTCCGCCGGGTATTTGAACCCGCGTACCACGAGTCATGAGGTGGGAACGTTACCTCTAGACTACGGAGGCCGGTCTTATTGTTATTACTGAAGTAGGATATTAAAAAGTACGCCTCAAATGACATCATGTTCGTACCAAGTTTCGTGAAAAAAGGTCAAGTGTTTTAAAAGTTTAAGTGGGGGACACAGTTTAGTGATCTCATAAGCAACATTTTTTCCTTAAGGCAGAAATGTAAGATAAAAATGATAAATCATTATTTAATCCGTGAATGCAATGCTCGAAGAAGGACTTGGTAGGATTTCCAGTCACTATAGAGGCCCTTGCATGACGTAGCACGTCTGGGAGATGTTCTACTACTAATACATGAGCATGGGCGGAAAAAAACAATAGGTGCAGAACAAGCGAGTGTACACATTTACAAGAGGTGTTTCTATCCATCAACAGCACCAACAGGGCTCATGTTCCCATCTTTTAGAATATCTCTTTTCCTTTTACATCGACTTACTTATTTTGCTGGCTGAAGTAACAGCAGTTTGCTTTCTAGTAACTTGTGCATATTTTAACGCCACAAACTCAGCTACTAGGTCCATGACATGGCAGTCGCTGTACATCCATCCCTTATCGATAAGCCATTACTCGCAGTCACAGTGATGTTCGGCGCTACAGAACCTGTACATCTGAATAAAAAAAAAAATCTTCTTTATGTAACTCCTCAGTAAATCAATCCCACGATTTCAGGAAACAAGTTTCGGACAGATATTCGAACCCTAGACACCCTGGATAAGAATTTGGAGTTCTTGTTGTTGCTTTGGCAGAATGAGTCGAGGATTCTTAACTGATCAGCCCTTCATGGAACAGTGTTTACATTACGTACTGCCTTCTTTGACGTTAAAACCTGCGTTTAACCTACAGAGCGCACACGAGGACGGTGTTTAAATTAGCAAATTAGCTAAAAGAATGTATTTTATTCTGATTGCTAATAAATATATATATAAAAAAAAACCTACAGAGCGTGTTTATCATCATCCAACGAAAAGAAAACGAACAAAGTGGAAGGTAGAATGGTTACTCTTGACTCTTCTATTGATTGTCCGAAAATCACACACATATTTCCAGTTTGCTCAATAAATCCATTCGGGGTTTAGTAATTGCCTAGCCTTGGAATACATATCATAATAAATATGATAATATTATGTGTGTAGATAGGATGGGATGGTATGGATTGGATTTATCTGGCTTAGGAGAGGGACCAGTGGAGGGCTCTTGTGAACACGGTAATGAACTTTCGGGTTCCATAAAAATGCTGGGAAATTTTTAAGTAGCTGCAGAATTGGCGGCTCCTCAAGAAGGGTTCACTTCCGTGAGTAAGTACGTGATATGATGTATGTACGATGTGGTCACGACAATATGAAGTACCTTATCTTATTATGCTTGTTGCTGCGACGAATTAAATACGAACATAATCTGTAGAGCATTTTAACTTATGAATTATCCGTTTTGCCGGTCAGACTAACCGCGCAATCTAAAGTGCGAAATGTCTTCGCCCGTACAAACAGTGGATTCGACTCCCACTCAATGCATGGACGTCTACCTACGTTTATTCTATGTTCGTGTTGTCCTGTGTAGGTAGCAGTCTTGCGACGGGCTGATCCCCCATTCAAGGAGTCCTACCAACTATCTATAGATTAATCATTTCACAGTAATTACTGAATCGGAACAGGTCAAAGAGCCTAATACTTCAAGGCAGAATAAGAATAAGAATAATTTTGTAGTTGGTTTCTTGGTACTGTTGTTTCTAGATCAAATTCATTCACTCCGTGATTAATGAGGTTTAGATTTGAGGTCATGTGGGGATGCGATATGCACTGTAAATTCATTCTGACTTGGGATTAATATGAAATGAAGGGTGGAAGATGAGTTGTTTCCTAGTTTCTGGGCTTGTTTTCATTGAAAAATCATTCAGTTACTTGTATCTAGGGACGGTTCACATACGCTTACACATAGTTTGCCTGAGAATCAAGACTTTATATTTTACGATTTTATATAAATTGGGGTTAATCATACTATTCTAAATCTGTTTGATTTTATTCTTTCCTATATACATATATATCATCTTCTTTATAATAAATTTGGTATTTATTATTAGGTTGAATCTTACTCCGTCTTGTACTCCTTTATGACTTATTCCTGCTTAGGTTTTGGTTCAGTTTCCCTTTTTGTTACCGCGAAGCGAGACCGGCGTTCGCATAAACCCACTTATGAGAGGTACATCATTACGTTGCAAAAGAAAATTTCATGTCGTAACAGCCTGTCACAAAAAATTTAACAAACCGGCGCAACAGGAGGAGAATGTATGTGTCGTACGGTTCTCACATTAAATAGCGATTATTTGCCTATACAGAATTAATCAATTGGCTCTGTAATGGAGATGCAGTGTCTACTATGAGGCACGAACAGAATTTATGACTATTATGTAGATGAATTTCATGGTTTGAAAGGGTTAAGGGCACCCCGCTTGACAGAAATTGTGATGATATTAGTCCTGAAGGACGGTGGAACTAGGCACATCGCCTTCAGTTGAACCCTTCATGACTGTCACGTCGCGTTGACCCTGGTCCCTGTCTGTGTTTCAGGGACGAGAAACAGATCGACTTCGCAGAGCAAGTCGAGAGCGTAGCCTACGTTCTGTGTGGTGAAGATGCCATCACTCTAGAAAAGTTCTACCAGATTTTCCAAGCGAAAGGGGTAAGTTCAAAGTTACATGTTTATTGAGGATCTCGAAGTAGAGGGAAAAGAGCTCTTAGATCTTAGCATTGCTCTGAAACTTGTGCTTTCAGACCCAAGAAACCGGGAGTGACATGTTAAATTTTGGTCAGTGACAGTTTCTTCAATAGAATAACAAAAATATGTTGAATTTATTTTTCTTTTTCATGTTTGCCCCCTCAGCCTCAGGATTATAATGGAATCGTGTGCAAAAATGAGCATTCAGTTTAAGACCTTAAGAGAAACCTGAAAATTAATGCAAATTGCGATCTAAATACCCATTGCGATGAAGCAATAAATAACGCCCTGTCCCGCACAATTAATGCTAAGGGACTGAGATGGTTAATTACTACTTAACTGTGCGAGGGGTGTTGCAGACAACTTTGTACTATCCCAGTATTTAGCGTGGCTGCTTAAATTAATAGATTTTAAATGAAGAAAATAAGAAGAAAGTGCCCTATTCTACTTTGTTTTCCTGTCGGTATGAACAGGCCTGTCTTACTCTCTTAACTGATTAACTACACTGAATGGAGTCTTTCTTGAGAATCTGAGAGTCGCTTATTTTTTCAAAAACTTCTCGGCCTCTTATGGTGTTTACTACATTTATAAGAACCAGACCCTAACTCCTGATCCAGCCGAATAAGGTGCACACCCCACAACCTTTCTACATTAAGATCAAGTTAAATATTTACCCACGATTAAGTCTCCGAATCGGATTCTTCCATTCAGGTTCTCGAACTAAATTTCTGCATGCACTTCTCACATTATCATGCGTGCTGTAAGTCTCAGCTTGCTATCAGTCCAGGACCTTTTGTCTTCTCGTCTGCTGTGTAAAAACATAAAAATTATAATATACGAAACTATAATTTTGCCTGTGGTTCTGTATGGGTGTGAAACTTGGTCTCTTACATTAATGGAGGAACATAGACTGAGGGTGTTTGAGAACAGGATGTTGAAGAGAATATTTGGGCCAAAGAGAGATGAAGTGACGGGAGGCTGGAGAAAACTATATAATGAGGAGCTTCGTAAATTGTGCTCTTCTCCAAGTATAATTTCTCTTATTGCCAGGTTCCCCTATGCAGTATCGGTGTATTAGCCCTGCATCACTGCCTGTTTCCTGGGACTCCCCACGCAAATAATTTCCCACCGCAGTGTAGGCGTCCTGCTCATCATGGGCTCTGATTATGGCGCAAGGCATATTCCTGCCTAATGGCGAGTCACAAAAACAAAAATACTGCACTGGTTTAGAGATACCAGCTTCATGGAACAACGAACTATGTGTAACTTGAGGAGGAGTTGTGTAGAGACAGGTGACTTCCATAGCAGATCGTCAAATTTGCTGTCGAAAGATTTTAATCAAACATTTTATGCAAATCTTATAACAAAGAATGAATATTTATAATTCAAATCTGCCCAGCCTTTACTTGTGATTGGATCTGAATTACATTTTGTATTGGGAACTTATATTAAAGTACAATCAAATAATTTGATGTAGTTCTAAAGGTTACCGCGCTTGTTTAATAATTAAAAAGTACGCTTCGAGCCTTAGCCTGGAAATTAGCCGATCAAAGTGGCCGCGTGTTCTAAGGCACGAACCGTTTTCGCCTGTTCGAACACTGTGATCGTGGTTTCGAATCCCACTCAAGGCGTTGATGTCTCTGTGCGTTTATTCTGTGTATGTTCTGTGTATAGGTAGTGGCCCTGTGAGGGGCTGATCCCCCGTCCAAGGAGTCCTGCCGACTGTGCATAGATTCAGTAAATGAAAAAGCGGCCAAGGCCCACAAAGGCTGTAGAGACATAGACAGATATATAGCCTGGAAATTAATTATTCCGAAATTTCGTGGTTTTCTTAAGTACCTCGAAGCACATCATGATACAATGTCATTTGAACTCCTAATTTCGTGATCGACCTGCAGTTCGACGCTAAATAACCTATACAGTTGGTGCAGGGTCGTTAACATAAACGGTGAAGGTGCTCGAAGTTAATCATAACGTTTTCTGAAACATCCCATGAATGATGTTCAGACCGTATCATGAACGTTAATAGCGATATGGAAATTTTGCATTTAAGAACTGAATTTCGAGACCGTGGAGATGTTACCTCCTCGAAACTTTGGTAACTTTCTGCAAGACATGATGTCACATCCACAAGCACAGTAATCTTCAGTTCTGTGTCCTATTCGTAACAGCCCTCATGACAAATTGTCCTATCGAGATTGCTCTACAGTGCCGTTGCAGTGAACTTCAATAATTACATTTTCGTTAGGCTATGCTGTTTCTTTGACTATTTCGAAAATATACGATTTCATTTACTTTTCCATGCTTGGTTTCTATTTCACACTAAGAAGCAACACTTCACGTAACTCTTCTGAGTTAGTTATTATAAATGACCACTACTGGACAGCTGATCACAGTGGCCGCACGGTCTAGGGCATGAACTCTCTTTACTCGCTTAAACACTGGGATCGTAGGTTCGAATCCCACTCAAGGCATGACTGTCTGTGTGCGTTTATTCTGTTTGTGCTCTCTTATATGTAAGTAGCGGCCTTGCGAAGGTCTGATCCCCCGTCCAAGGAGTCCTACCGACCGTGTAAAAGATTAAGAAGCTGAAAAGGCGGCCAGAGGTGCAACAAAGAGCTGTAGAACCACAGATGAATGAATGAATCAGACTGTTGGACAGTTCAGAAACAGATATCCTGAGTTTGAAGTACTCGTATCTGGACGTTTAAATGAACGAATACACAAATATAACTTATTAACTGAAGTAATAAACAGATATTGCTAAATCAAAACACGAAGATTATTTTTTTACGTGACCACGCAATATTTTAGCAATGTTATACAACGTAAATCGCGTTTTTATTCAAAGTTAAATATGGGATAAGAGAAAGAAAATGGTGAACGAAAAACAGAAACTACAAACATTTGTTTTATTAGCCTGGTGATCAGAGTACTTGTAACAGACCGAGAACTACGATATTGTTGACGGCGTACAGAACGTCCGTTTGAAATGGACACCGCATATAGGTCTACACAGACTGGAAAGAGAATTTTCAGAAATCTGTTAATATCACTTTCGAGAAGAAACAACTTCGGGCTCCCTGTAATCGTCACTGGACTGAAGTAACACACATAACCCCTTGTTCCTCGCAGAGCAAGATGTGTTAGTTGAATAATAATCACTCTTAAAGTGTGAAAGGTTACATTTGTGGAATGCAGGCGTAAGAATGGGCTTTCGGCGCGTTGGCAGGAAGCTTCCTCACTCGCTAACAGTGTTCCCAAAACAGTCTCAGTAATGATCTACTCATCAGGTACCTAGCAATAAATAAGATGCCCCTCCGTTTATCGCAAGCGATTGAGCGGAACGCTAAAGTTAACTCGACAGGTAATTTGATATCTGGGAAGAAACGATTCTCAGAACGAAGTGAGAATTCTTGATGTTCCAATAAGGAGTGGAAGGGGGGGGGAAGAGATTGGGCGGAACTAATTGCTTAAAATACACGGCAGTTGCTGACAATTCAGCACGAAGTTTCTGTAAAGTGCTACGTAATTGTAGAGAAGACAGCAAAGGAATTAAATTCCAGTTACGTTTACATACAAATTGATTCTGCGGTTAAAACCGAAGGAACTTCTTGTAACGTGGATCAAATAAATGTCGAATGTCTTAGAAGTGCAGAAGCTAAATATATTTATAGTATAATGTTGCACCATGGTGTGTACAATTAATAGAAATACGTAAAGAATGCAGTCATGTAATTGATATTATACAAAAACAGACGATGTATGGATAAATTTCTTATGCATTTCTGTAGATAAATGTGGTTGTTTGATTCTATAAATGCATACTGTTTGCCGTCTCTGTTTCCAGTGATCTGTAGAAAAAGCACATAGTGCTTGCAGTAGGAAGATATTAATTCGGTTATGTCACATTCATAATTACAGTGTCCCAAGAAAATAAATTAATTTCGTCATTCACAAGAAGAAACGACAAATAATTCTTTTTGGAAAAGCCCATTCTAGACTTCCACGTTCTCCATATTTGTTACGGGACCTGTGGAAACATTTAATTCCATTTATCGTTTAATGAAGCATCCAGATAACGTGTAAATGGACGCATTTTCTTTCGACATCCAAGTGAATCAGAATACAGCCGTACTGGACCGCAATTACGAGTTATCCTCGAACCCGCTGCGCTGCTGGTCTCGGTGTTCACGCAAAACAATAAATACTGGCAACGCTTGAAATGACACTTCTAATTAAAGCTTATTTATGTGCGGCCTGGATACCATCACCAGTCGTTTGCCTTGTATGGTGCCCAATTTCATTCTCTTGCTTCAAGGCCTATGAACATGGCTTGAAATATTATACCAAGTTTTAGTCACCAAACCGAAAGGTCATTCACCAATCCAAACTCTTCGAAATAATTACCTATTGTTGTTACGGCGTATTACAAATTGACCCCCCCCTTTTTTCCCTCTTGGCACTACAGCCCCAGTGGGCCTAGGCCTACCTCCATGAACTCCGTTCACTTCGGTTTTTCTAGATCTTACACATTCGGTAGGACTCCTTGGGCGGGTGATCAGCTCGTCGCAAGGCCTCTACCTGTAGACAAACACAGAAAAGCGCACACAAACATCCATGCCCTGAGTGGGATTCGAACCCACGATCCCGGCTTCTGAGCGAGCGAAGACAGTGCACGCCTTAGACCGCTCGGCTACCGTGACCGGCAATTGATCCCTTTGCTACAAAATTATTTTTAACTAGTTGGCACTAACTTCGCCGACAAGCGGCGGTCGCTCGGTCGGTATAGTTCGCTTGCGCACTAAAACCACGGAGTTTTTTTTTTGTACTGCCTTGTTACAGCGATGTGAGCACTGGACACGAGAAGGATTCATAAAGCCGCACTTACTTCTGATATTTTGGAGTTGTAACCAAAGCGCTACTTTGTTGCTGGGAAAGGGACGTACATGGCCTAGCTCTGT